TCTATAGTGAGTGTTAGTAAGTGTGCATGTGTGGTCGGTGTTAATGCATTGCTTGTGGTCCCGTGTTAGTAGGAGTGTGCCTGTGTGGTCAGTGTTAGTAAGTGTGCTTCTATGGTCAGTGTTTAGTAAGTGTGCTTCTATGGTCGAGTGTTAGTAAGTGTGTATTGTGGTCAGTGTTAGTAGAATTATTAGCTTGTGTGGTCCAGTGTTAGTAAGTGTGCCTGTGTGGTCAGTGTTAATGGGAGTGTGCCTGTGTGATTGATGTTAGTAAGTGTGCCTGTGTGGTCAGTGTTAGCTAAGTGTGCCTGTGTGAGGTCAGTGTTAAGTAAGGAAGTGTGTGTGGTCAGTGTTAAGTAAGGGTGTGCCTGTGTGGTCAGTGTTAGTAAGTGTACCTGTGTGGTCAGTGTTAAGTAAGTGTGCCTTAATGCTTGGTCAGTGTTAGTAGAGTGTACTTGTATGGTCAGTGTTAGTAGGTGGCTGCCTGTGTGGTCAGTGTTAGTAGAGTGTGCCTGTGTGGTCAATGTTAGTAGGAGTGTGCCTGTGTGGTCAGTGTTAGTAAGTGTGCCTGTGGTCAGTGTTAGTAAGTGTACTTGTATGGTTAGTGTTAGTAAGTGTGCCTGTGTGGTCAGTGTTAGTAAATGTACTTGTATTGTCAGTGTTAGTAAGTGTGCCTGTGTGGTCAGTGTTAGTAAGTGTGCCTTTGTGGTCAGTGTTAGTAAGTGTACTTGTATGGTTAGTGTTAGTAAGTGTGCCTGTGTGGTCAGTGTTAGTAAATGTACTTGTATTGTCAGTGTTAGTAAGTGTGCCTGTGTGGTCAGTGTTAGTAAGTGTGCCTTTGTGGTCAGTGTTAGTAAGTGTACTTGTATGGTTAGTGTTAGTAAGTGTGCCTGTGTGGTCAGTGTTAGTAAATGTACTTGTATTGTCAGTGTTAGTAAGTGTGCCTGTGTGGTCAGTGTTAGTAAGTGTGCCTTTGTGGTCAGTGTTAGTAAGTGTACTTGTATGGTTAGTGTTAGTAAGTGTGCCTGTGTGGTCAGTGTTAGTAAGTGTGCTTGTGTGGTCAGTGTTAGTAAGTGTGCCTGTGTGGTCAGTGTTAGTAGGAGTGTGCTTGTGTGTGGTCAGTGTTAGTAAGTGTGCTTGTGTGGTCAGTGTTAGTAAGTGTGCCTGTGTGGTCAGTGTTAGTAAGTGCACTTCTATGGTCAGTGTTAGTAAGTGTGCCTGTGTGGTTAGTGTGTATAAGTGTACTTCTATGTTCAGTGTTAGTAAGTGTGCCTGTGTGGTCAGTGTTAGTAAGTGTACTTCTATGGTCAGTGTTAGTAAGTGTGCCTGTGTGGTCAGTGTTAGTAATTGTGCTTGTGTGGTCAGTGTTAGTAAGTGTGCCTGTGTGGTTAGTGTTAGTAAGTGTGCTTGTGTGGTCAGTGTTAGTAAGTGTGCCTTAATGTGGTCAGTGTTAGTAAGTGTACTTCTATGGTCAGTGTTAGTAAGTGTGCCTGTGTGGTCAGTGTTAGTAAGTGTACTTCTATGGTCAGTGTTAGTAAGTGTGCCTGTGTGGTCACTGTTAGTAAGTGTACTTCTATGGTCAGTGTTAGTAAGTGTGCCTGTGTGGTCAGTGTTAGTAAGTGTACTTCTATGGTCAGTGTTAGTAAGTGTGCCTGTGTGGTCAGTGTTTCAGTATTGGCAAATGTGCCTCTGTTGTCAGTATTAGTAATTGTGCTTTTGTTATCAGTGTTAGTAAGTGTGTCTGTCTGGTCAGTGTTCGTGACTTTGCCTGTGTGGTCAGTTTTAGTAAGTGTGCCTGTGTGGTAAATGTTAGTAAGTGTACCTGTCTGGTCCGTGTCATTACTGTGTTTACTATCTGTTCTCCTCTGTCTGCTGTACTCTAGTTCTCACTGGGTTCGATTCCCAGCTCAGGCCAGATGCGTGACAGGTGTTATTCAGTGTGACTCTACCAAGCATCTCATGTGCCCTTCTGTACTATAACTGGACAGTGAAGGACAAACTCATGACGAGCAATGGGCTGAATAAACAATCTGCAGGCTACCTTTTTGTCAAATCTGTATAAATGAAAAAAATAAGCATTATTGACTTCGTCACTATTTTTCTAGTAGAATAGATTTCTTTGCTGGTGACATTCTTCTACCGAAAGGTATACCGTACCACTGTACTCGTATGTCTGTGTTCCGTTAGATATCTCAGTCAGTACATCGTCTGAAAAACTACACAGGCACTGTGCACAGAGTCCGTAAACAAAGAATATCGTTACAGTCTTCACTTGCACTCAGTAACTCCCTCATTATACGAGCCACCGGTGGTGATACCCTTTGTCTTATTATAACTATTAACCTCTGATGGGATTCCCGCATTTCTAAATTGTAAAGAATGTAATAAAGAAAGAGGTTCTCTTTTATTCATACATAATTGTGCACCATATCATAGAGTAATACACCATGCATCTGCTTATGACTGCTCGTTGACGTGATGATGATATTACTGTGCTTAAACATAGGCCTTGTGGCGCGTAGCAATGTTAGTAATTACGCAAGTTCATCAAAAATTAAAACAATCAGGCTCCACTGATCACAATCTCAACTACTTATCACATTAATAACCAGTAACTCTGCTTATATTCTCTTTGACCCCCTCTCATATCAGACGATGTTTCCTTCTAGTCTATTATTTCTCACTCTTCTCAGTTAGTCACAACGTATGTCAATGTTTCTTTTGAACAAGCTTCCTTATCAGTTATGTCCTTCACTCCTGGCATTTCTTGTCTATGGACCTCCCTTCCCTCTTACATTTTTCCATTCACTTACAACTTAGGACTTTTTAATATGGGACATTCACCTTTCTCTCGTTTTCACAGAGAGAAGACAAATATTTTACGGAAATATTTAAAAAATGCTGTTGCTGTGTACGAAAAGCCTTGATTCTCTCAGTTATCTCGGTTTATGGATAATGTATTTCATTAATTTACATAGAAATAGGTGTGGCATTCGTACATGCCGTGATAAATGCACAAATGGATGAACTTCAGGTTTGATAAGATGAACACGATAGTTACTTTGTAATCCAGATGTACATAAAATGATCACTTGACACGCTTATAATCTTATCTTCACTTTGGTGGCAATCTGAACACACTGTGCTTCAGGAACTGCAATCTACAAGATTTAGTGTTTCATAATAAATGAATCGGTAGTAGTGTTCATTAAAAAAAAAATATGAAGTCCGGTTTACCAAACTTGTAAAATTGAACTTAATTTTAAATTGCATGATTTTACCGGAAAGCTTGATGTTTTGACGATGTTATGGGCTGTGGAAGGTAGGGATGTGAATATACACGCTCAAGCTGGGCACGACTCAACCTCGGGCGTCTACCACGTGAGCCTGGCGGCACATATCACAGACAAGTTAAGACAGGTTGGGCATTTATCTCCCTATGGTATGAGTATTTGTGAGCTAGTTCTGGGTTTATGACAAGCCGATGAGGATATAATGCTACTACTAGTGAAGGTACATTCCGGATCTCAGTCGTGCAGTGCCTCCTCGATGAGGATTTAAATCCCGAAACAATGAGGCGTGAATTTGTTTAAGGTGTAGAAGCTGTTGCTAACACAACAACCACACCCTACGTTAACGAGTTGCATGACCCAGTGTCAACGAATAGTCCGAGAAGACCGGACAACTCGCCAACTGCACTGGCTAACCATTACCAGGGAACACGATCCACAAATCGATTAACATACTGTTCCCAATTCCTGTTGGGTAGACAGAGGCAAATGGCGTAAAGAAACTTCCCCATAGTTTCACCCTGCCCAGGGATCGAACCCGGGTCCGCTCGTTTGTGAGGGTAGCATGCTGATCATTACACCACAGGTCGCCAGTGCAATTACAGCCTCGCCATTGTACCGTTTGATTATTCATTACTTAGTTATAAGATGATCGTTGGTACCACTGGTTTGTAATCGTGGAAATCAAGCTTAAAATTTAACTCTTGGGGATTGCTTGTAGGTGGCCAATAGGTGGCCGAGGAGTAATACAATAAATGACTGTGTCGGGCGGTGAAGTGGTCATGGACGACACGGTGTGATACAGTCGGATGAAGAGCCGTTTTGGAGGGTGTCGTATGGTTCTTGTGGACACTAGACGTTCAAGGAGATGTTTTATGGTCTCTAAACCAAACTTTTATTCCTTCCATATCCCATGAATCTGCATGTCTGGTGTCTCTTGACAGTCACACCAAGAAATTAATAAAATATTTTTTTTTCTACTCATTTTGCCAGTCTGAACAATAATTATAAGTCTATAATAAATGCCTTATGAATAATTCACGTATACAACAAGTACCTATAATATAGACGATAACTTTATGGGTCACCCAGTTAAACGCTGGAGGTTCCCTTATCCCTTAGTAACATAAGTGTGTGTGTGTTTGTGTGTGTTATTTTCTGCTATTTAAAGTTCGTTAGCATGATAATTCAACTATCGTTGGACCGATTTCAAATATATTTTGTGCGGGAATTTTAGTCTATCTGAACAAAAGCAGTAACTAATTTGGTGAAAAAATGCACCTGTTTGGTACCTGATTTACATACTTCCATTCCTATCAACGTTCAACACAAAGCCTCAGAACACAGGCCGTCATATTTTTACTGAGGAAAATATCAGAGGATAAATACGTAGTTTATTCTGGTAACTTTTTGGGAACCAGCTGTGTCAGTACACCTACAGTATGTGTGTGTGTGTCACCAACATCCACACAATTCCTAAAGAACGTTAGATCCACATCAAAAAATTACAGCCACACTATAATAATTCAAGAAGATATGTGTATCTTCTTAGTTTAAGTATGATTTTCTTTCTCTCCACCACTTGCTGTACTTAACACAGACGATGTTTCTAGTAGGATGAGGTAGTATACCAACGACCACACAAGAATACTGTGTCTATTAAGCGTGGCGGACACACAACAGTAGAGGGTACAAAAAACACTTTTTACACACAGTGAAGAGCACAGGAAGCGAACCAGCACAAAACAGCTAAGAAGAGCAGAGTGGCACCGAGCTGCACCAACAGCGACTGACACCCACCGACAACTGGGAGAAATCTTAACTTATAGGGTGAGAACCACCGGCTGCTTCACGCCGCGGGACCCCGCCTCCTCCGCCCCACAAACCTCCCAACTTTCCTGAACTGCCGGCACTAGCGTAGCTAGGGGGCGGGGGCGGTCCGCCCCGGGCGGCACCTTTGGGTCTGCTCATCATCCATATCTGCAGCTACTGGAGACGTTAATCCATCCCTTTGCATCGGCGGCAAGTTAATCCTTGTCGTGTCTGACCTAACACCTGACCCACATCATCACGGCCCCCCCCCCGCCACACACACAACCTGTAACCTGTTGAGGATTAAGGAAACAACTTCAAACAAGTACGCCAGTGAGCTCATGTGGTGTGGGTCAGGTGTTAGGTCAGACACGACGAGGATTAACTTGCCGCCGATACAAAGGGAAGGATTAACGTCTCCAGTAGCTGCAAAACCATGCGGTCTCGGGTCATATCAGTTCATGTACAGCCGACCAATCCACCAGTTACAAGCAATTCACTTCAGTTCTGCATAAATCTCCATCGTGACAAGACGAGGGGAGGCTAGACGACTTTTAAGTTCTCTTGTGTTTTCGATCCAGTTATTTACTTCGTTGGAAGACATAATACTATTAGGTGAGAAATATTAAAGTATTGGTTAAAAAATATTGATGTGACTTTTGCTGCGGTACTGAGATTAAATATTAAGATTTTGTTTCACAGCATTGCGATTTTATACTAAGACACTATCCTCACTGGGGTACAGACAAAAGCCCCCCCGACAAAAGCCACCCAGACGAAAGCCACCCAGACAAAAGCCCCCTACTTTGATCGGGGTGGCTTTTGTCTGACAACAGTAAGGGCTTTCAAAAGTTACGGACATAATTAAATAGTTGAGGGTAAAATATACTGTTCTTCTCTGTGGTTAATTATTGGTTAGATTAGGGTTAGGTTAAGTTAGATTAGGTTGGGTTAGGTTAGGTTAGGGTTAGGGTTGTCAGACAAAAGCCACCCCGATCAAAGTAGGGGGCTTTTGTCTGGGTGGCTTTCGTCGGGGGGGCTTATGTCAGACATCCATTTTCATTGTACTCTGAGTCTGTAATTTTAGATTAAGTTGCTACTTTTTACATTTCCATTGTATTACATTGATACTAGTGTCATTATACCGTGAGTTTAGATCAAGCTGTTATTTTTACATTGCTGTGATTTTAATCATTTTAGATGATAATGACACTAGTGTGACAGTGTCATTATACCGTGATTTTAGATCATACTCAATAAAAGATAACGGTGCAGTACAATTGTTTTATGTAACGGATTCCTAACCTAACCTAAAATAATATATATATATATATATATATATATATATATATATATATATATATATATATATATATATATATATATATATATATATATATATATATATATATATATGCATGCAGAAACTTCACATCATGAAGAAAAGATGCACAATAACCACTGGAGAAAGGAAAGACAAGCAGCAAGTACTTTCGTTTAATACATCCTCAGGCAGAGGATGTATTAAACCAAAGTACTTGCTGCTTGTCTTTCCTTTCTCCAGTGGTTATTGTGCAGATATATATATATATGCTGAGGAAATGCTATTTAAGAAAAAATGTTTTCCTATGCATATTACTTTTGGAATAGCGTTTTTTTATATTATGCAATGCCGAAATAATAAATAATGTACGTAATACATTTTAAATTTTTTTTTGTAAATTCACAAAAGCATTCTTTTGCTACACAGAGCTTTTTTCTTAATGTGTTATTTGTTAAAAGTGTAGAATTTGTGACTTGTGATATTTAGCTTCATCACTTTTATCTAAAGTTCTCGTCATTTTTTTCAATTTTTTTTTATCTTTTAATTTTAAACATGCAGTGTGAATTTATTTCTCGAAAAATTAATGTTTTATACTTCTATCACTCTGTCCCCAGATGAAGCGAGCTAAAGAAAGTGGTGCTGCGTATAGAAAAAAGAGAAAGGCAAGAGAGGAAGTATTAAACAAGAATAAAGGGGCACTCTTAAAATACATCAGTCGTATAGAAACCAACTCATTATCAAATTCAAGGGATTCAAGTTCAACTTCAAGCGATTCGTCAACTTCAACTCCTTCAAGTGATGAAGAACATGAAGAAGAAAATATTCCGGGACCAGCTGTGGACAGAGTGGACATAAAAGATGTTGGCCTATGGCCAAGCAAGATTAGCAATGACACACGGATCTTTCTGGTACGTCAAGGTGCGTCTGTGGTTCAAAATCTAGATTCTGATTTTGGTGAAGTAATTCGTGAAGGTGTGTCAACCAAAGGACAAACTAGAAAACTAACACGCGAGTGGTTTTTTCAAACTCTGCCAAATGGTGAAAGAATGTTGAGATCATGGATGGTGTACTCCCCTTCCAAGGAAGCTCTTTACTGCTTTTGTTGCAAACTGTTTTCAGACAGAAGTAACTCAAAATTTAATTCTGAGGATGGATTCAACATATGGTGGAAACTGAATCCTAGAATATCCGAGCACGAATCCAGTGCAGCTCACGTTCGGAATTTCACACAATGGAAGGAGTTGGAAATTAGGATTGCTCGTGGAGCAACAATTGATGTATTTTTTGTGGGGAGCTGAAGTCAGCTTAAACTCAAGGGCCGCCCCGGGCGGCACACACTCTAGCTACGCCACTGTCTGCCGGTAAAATTTTCGAGAAATAAAACATTTCATCTTTGAAGCGCAAAAAATATCAATCAACGTCATGAAGACGTTCTGCCTCAATAATCGTAACAGGCGAAAGAGAAACCTAGTATTGTCCTGTCACCCTGCTCTCTAGGTACAGTGTAGAGGCGAACTATCGACGCTTTAAGGTTAAATGTATAAGTTCACTTTCTCAGTTTTCGTTTAAATTGAACCAAAAGTTAAAGGAAAATTAATCCATCCATCGAAAAAGACTCGTATACAGAACAACTAAACAATTAGACGTCATTAGGAAGAGGGGGAACAAACTCACACAAGTATTGCTGTCTAAGTAACACGTTTTTCTCTTCACTATGTAAATTGTACGAGGCATTTATTTTAAGGACTATATCATTTAAATTAATCACTTGGGTATATAAGAAAGCTTGATAACCAAACTTGAAAGTTATGCCTATTCGATTTAATATGACTTAGTTGTACTGTAGCTTGTAGTTTGCTTTGTCGCCCTAAATTCATAAGGATTAATATGACTAACATCTATAATTCTATATGGAAGTTACGGCGAGTCATCTACCTCTTCCGACCCCAGAAGACAACCTCGACACTGGGCGAATATGACAAACAGTGGTGATATATGTAAAGTAGTCACTGTAATGGAGAGCCCGAGATAATACTCGGTACCTAGTCGTGTGGACGAGAGAGGGGTGGATCTTACATCTGCAAGTACCTCTCTTTATTGTTATGAAGCTGATATAAGCTTAAAAGTACCGTAATGCACTGCTCAACTTATAAGAATATGATAAACAACTGTACGACAATAATTAAGATCATAATGCTTGTGCATAGTATAGAATATTCCTATGACTGGCAGAATGAAGACAAGCACAAAACCTCAATGGTGATGGTATTTAAAAAAATGTAATATAAATTTTCGGTACTACTACAGCATGCAGTCTACAAAATATTTAGGTTAGGTTAGGTAAGGTTATGTTTGGTTAGACTGAAGATATCTTTGTTGACAGCACTCTATAGGGGTCCGACTAATTACCCAAATGTACCCAAATGTAGCCGCAATGAAGTCAAATAATGGTCCTACATGAATAAATCGGGTTACCAATCACTTCTCGACTAGTATTTGGTGTCACAAAGTCACAAAAAATTGGAAAACGTAATTTAATTTGAGTTAATAGATCGAGTGCATGTACCGAACCTAACCTAACCTAACCTCGACTAGTATTTGGTGTCACAGTCACAAAAAATTGGTAAACTTAATTTAATCTGAGTTAATAGATCAAGTGCATGTACCTAATCTAATCTAACCTAACCTAACACAACACAACTCAGATTAAATTAAGTTTACCAATTTTTTTTTTTTTTACTTTATGACACCAAATAATAATCGAGAAGTGATTCACAGCCCGAATTACGCTTGTACGACCATCATTTGACTTCATTGAGGCTACATTTGAGTACATTTGGGTAATTCCTTGCTCCCTCGGTACATGCACGCGATCTATTAACTCAGATTAAAGTAAATTTTCCAATTTTTTGTGACTTTCTGACACCAAATACTAGTCGAGAAGTGATTAGCAGTCCGATTTATTCATGTAGGACCATTATTTGACTTCATTGCGGCTACAGTTTGCTACATTTGGGTACATTTGGGTAATTTGTCGGACAGCTCTATAGTAGTACCAAATTTTCTTAATACTGTAGCGCAAAATCTCTATGGTTTCGATGCTCTTAAGAACATCTACCATAAAGCCCATGTTAAAACTGTGTGAATGTAGTGAACAATCCACGTACAGTACTTCTTCGATATAATAAATTTGGACACGATAATATACTGTATCATCTCATCAGGTATTCTATGTAGATCATCTTACCCCTCAGGTGGGGGAGATGCACCCCTGCCCCTCACCGAGTACAGTATTTGCCTCTTTAGAGAAAAACCAGTGTGTCTTTCTAGACATTAGATGTATACTATAACAAATAGGCTTTATAAAACTGTCTCCTTTTACCAGTCCTCTATATTTTAATATGTGTACTTCATGGATAATGTTTAAGGCTATTGAGTTAAAAGAAAATGACCCACATGGGCAGCCCCGTTTACACCTAACCCCTATCGCTCATATATCCGTCTAGCCTATATTTGGAGCTACCCAGCTTGTTCAAGTTAATGAAGTTCGGTTACTTGCTCTACTCAACCACTACTCTATTTCCAAACCACTTTTTACCTATCTCGCGCCTAAATCTAAATTTGTTCAATTAAAACCATTGCTACGAGTTCGCTCATGGTTGGATAGTTTGAGTA